GTAACAGTTGGTATTCAGACGGGCCAGAGTGTCGTTGCCGAGGCAGAGATCCACCCAGCTCTTCCCATGACTGTTGGAGAAGGTGGGCAGGCTACTGGAGTTAAGGGAAACAAGTCCCAAATCGGACATGAGGCCCATGACCTCCCGACCCCTCGGGTCCTCTGAGGGACTATACCAAATGGGCGACTTTGCGTTGAAGTCCCCACACACTAACTTGGGGCCCGGGGGGAGCCCCTGGTAAATCCCCTTGATCTCCTGAAGCAGGGGGGCAATGTCCTCTGAAGGTGGACAGTAGACGTTGATAATGTAAAGACAGGTGGCGCTGAGGTCCACACTGATGGTAGTGATGTGAGGGGTGCAACCTTGGGCGATAACCTGGCAGTTGATATTCTTGTTGTAAATAATAAAGCCCGTTAGAATAGTACCCTCATGACCGCTGCCCGTGAGGGTATGCCCCCTACCAAGCAGAGCCACTTTCCCGTTGCGGGTATACGGTTCCTGGAATGCCAGAATGTCGATGTCGTGGTCCGCCGCCGTTTGGACAGTCGCCGAGGCCGCCGCTTTACATTTCTGCAAGTTAATTTGCAGAATGTTCAGTCGGTCCTTGTAAAACTTATGGTTGTCATCGAACGTGAGAGCAAGACGGGGGCCGTTTACAGAGGAAGAAACCACCTTAGGCATATTGTGTCTTACTTATCTGTAGCAGTTTTTGCCGTTTCAGTCTTGGACAGCCCTTGTCAAAAGTGTTATGGTTAATGTTTATTTTTTTCTGATCCGGGGCCTCTTTGTTGTGTAGATGACAGTTTATGCACTTCGGGTCCTTGATCAGGTTCGGGCATTCCTTAAACTTATGCCTTTTGGCGCAGTGGCTGCATCGTTGCCTTTCCTCACACCTGTATGAGGTGTGCCCGAAGCCACAACAGTTGAAACACCGGATTACCGGTATATAGTCATTGTCTCTATGCGACAACCACCCCACAAAGATACGGCCGCTCTCCATGATGGCGTTCCTTGTGTTCGGTGGGACCGTCATGATAACGTGTTTAGTTTCCGTTTCACCCCGTGGGCTAAAGCTACGGTCAACCCTGATTTGAGCAGGGCACTCCTCCTTTGTCGTGTATAAATTCAAGCTGGGGTTCTGCTCGTATAAATTTTCGATCAGGGATTGATCTTCGATGTTCTGGGGTACATTAAATACAATTATTTTAGGCATCCTCTTACTCCTTTGGGAAGCTTTTAATTTGTGTTTGAGCGCCTCATTGCCCTGGATGGCCTCTTGCAGTTTGTCGGCATCGTTGCCATCCGTGGTCTTGATGTCAAGGGCCCCACTTGGAAGGGGACGAACTTGTAGGATTTTCACTCCCAACAGTTTANAAATCATATTTTTATACTTATTATTTATAATATAAATTTGTATTTTTATATACAGTAAATAGAACATTTTCTTAAAATATTCAATAATATGGCTTCTATAAGAATAGTTTTTCTCCTAAATCCTCCAAATTGATAGATTACTAAATTAAATATTTTACAATTTGTTTTAAAATTGTAAAACATTTTATGTATGTAAAAAATTCATTTTAGCAGATTTATAACAAGTTTTAAAAATAATGAAATTATAATTAAATAGAGATTTAATCTAATTATTTTTCAAAATTTATGAATATTCCAAAATTTTAATGATTGTATATGTTTATTTAGGACTGAATTGGAATATAAGAAATATAAGTGGTGCTACAATACAATGGTTATGGATAACTCATAAAATGAAAGTAAAATTACACTCTTTAACAGTTGGTGTAACATTTCAGTAACACTTGAATTTTGGCCAACTGATAATGTGTCTCAAAAACCTGCAGTCACTTAATCTCTGCAACATTCTGTTCATCAAAGTATTTGTTAATATAATTGGCTCTGCTGTTAAGCAACAACATGAAGTTTAGTACAGCTGTGGGCTGCTGTCCTTGCTCATGGCCTTATCTTTTTACACTGTCCTACATATCAGCAAAGAAGAAAAGCAAAATGGAAGAACGAGAGAAACCTGTCTCTTTGTTAGTTAATAATTCAGAACAAGTTTTACTTTCCTCCTCTCAAGCAGAATCTACAGCAAATAATCAGGCACCTGAAAATGCTGAAACTCTCAAATCTCCTAACATGAGCACTGACAGTGGATTTGAAGGTGAAAATAATAGGCCATTGCTACTTCAAACAAACCTGCCATCACCTGCAGATGATGCTATTATTAGTTCTTGGAGACATGATGTTTTTCAATCTGGTGAGTTAGAATTTGATGTTACGGAACTTGGAAGCCCAAAATCACCAAAAAAGTCTACAGAGGATTCAGATTTTAATGAATCTCCATTTGATAAGAAATCTGTACCTAGTGTAGGTGATGTACAATCAGAGAGTGATAATGATGATTCAGAACATCACTGTTTATTTCATAATGCAACTCCTATATGGTGTAATGGTGAAATATCTGGTTGGAAAGAGAATTACGTTAGTGATTGCCAAAGCACATCTGTTAATGGAATACATCTTATTAAGGAATTACCTGATGATGATGATGATGATGACGACGACGATGATGAAGAAACTTGTGCATTTCAATCTAAAGACTGTTATATGCCATCCAGTTGCTGCACTTCCTATAAAGGTTGTGGTACAAACTGTAAGAGAAATATTTCTTCTGAAAATGAACAATGGAATGGTTTAATGTTACCAAAAGACTTAAAAGATTGTGTACTGTGTTCTGAAGGAAGTAACAATGTACTCATTAGTTCAGATAATGATGAACAAATTGAAAAATTAGATACTGAAACAGATGATGGTTCAGATGAGAGAAATTTTGATGGAACTTATAGTGATGATACTTTGAGTGCATATTATGTTCCTTCTGCAATATCTGCAACAACTGAAGAATATCAACTACAGCCACCTGTACCACCCCCAAGAGGAATTCGACCTCTTAGATTAAAAAGAGAAGGAACTCAGAGTGAAGCTGATGCAGATATATCTCCTGCCTCTAGATCTTGTTATAAATCATTACGATCACAGAGTGAGCCTTCACAGTATACTACAGTTTTAAAACCAAAAGCAGTGAGGCCTCCTCCACCAATAAATGTTGATAGAGTAGACTGTCATAGTAGTCTTGAATCATTGCATAGTGGACGTATTGTAGATGTTTTAGGACAGAGACAAGAGAGACTGTCAGCTTTTAGAGAACGGCCGCGTAGTAGTCTTTCCCAAAGTGAAAATGTTCATGTATTCTTTAGTAGGTCTTTAGATACACCACCTTTAGTTCCATCCTCTAGAAATTCTTCTGATAGGAACTTAGCTACAATAACTTCAGTTTTGGTAAGTCCATCAAAAAGACCTGATAGATCATTGGAATCACCTCTTCCTATTTTAAATTGGAATGATATTAATAATATAGTCCATCCAATAGATGGCTCTGCAAATCATGAGGATACTGATCAAATGTCTGATAAAAATACAGTATCACCTAGTATTGAAACAGTTCCTGATAGTTCATCTCAGGTAGATGAAAACAGTAATGTGACCACTACCACATCTCCATCCCAGTTGAAACGCCATAGTATGCCTTGGGATCTGTTTTGGAATAGTGAAGCAGCTCGAAGACCAATGTCTGATTATGATCCCAATAGAGAACCTATTCATATGACATTAGAAGAGGTTAGAAGTTCTTTACAAACATTAACAAGGAATGATCAAGAAAGTAATGAACTATCAAAGTCTGTAGCACAAGATAATAAACCCTCCAATAAACGTTTATTAGGTTCTTATCTATGGCAGAAAAAAGGCAAAAAAAGTGATAAGATGATTAATCATAGTAAAAGATCAGAAAATCAAAGAAAAAGTTTTCCTTTTTCTATAAAAACTGCTTTTACAAATTTATTTGGGTTGAAAAAAGCTGGTGTAACTGAAAACAGATATTCACCTAGTCATTCTAAATCTCATGATGAACTTTCTTTTCAAACATCCAAATCAAAATCAAGCCCCAATACAAGCCCATTTACTCATAGAGCACTTCCACCTTTGCCATCAGATAATTCTGCTTGGGAACCTACTTTGACTGTTGAAGAAGAATGGAATGACTGTGGAGGAAATCAAACTTATGATGAAAATGGAACTGATGTATGTGCACAGAGAAAATTGGATTATGCCGCAAGTATTGAAAAAGTTAAAGATGTAAGTATTGTTTTTGTGTTCTTGTTTTCTCTACTTTTTTTCTAATTGTATATGAACAATGACAGCATTATCTGAATACAATACAATGCTTTGCATTTATTGATATTTATAATGATAACATTAAATAGCTATTATTAATATTGTTAGTAATATTAATAAGATTAATATTTGAATCAAACTTTATAGACCTAATAACTTGTAAAGAGAACATTAAGTTTGTTTCAAATAATTATTTAATTTATATGAACATTCATACCAGAATTAACTTATTACACTACATTGAAATTGTTGGATTTTTATAACCTAGTTATTTTTTAACTGATTCAGAATTAATTATAAATTTATTAGGCTTTAAAGTAAATAATAATTATGGGAAGATGATACTGTGTACTTCTATACCAGAATAATTCATAATTTCTAATTAGTTTAGAAACTGTACAATTTATTACTAATTTTTATGTAATTGATTATTTTGTAATTTACATAAATATAAATAAATTAGTAAGCAACATAAGATTTACTATAATAATTTTAAGCAATTTTAAAATTTTGTTCATGAGATATGAAAATTCCTTTGTAAATATTCATTTTTCTAAATTGATAATTTTTTTTTTTAATTATAGATCTATAATTTAACTTTTTTATATATTAAATGCAGATTTTTGAAGTAAATTCTGATTTAACTTCTTGCACACCGGAGTGCGTAATAAACAAAAACGTACTTACTTGTGTCCCTAACCGGTGTGTAGAAATACAAAAATAAATAATTTTGTAAAAACAAACGTTTTCCGAACACCTTCCGTGTCCTTCTTCAGGTAAAACAGTTGGATTCCTTATTCCTGAACACCATCATGCAATTTTTTTAAAAAGAGAAATTCGAACAATGTTTCAATTGTGCGATATCTATTGTGCATGCGTTGTATCTGTCGTGTTCCTTTCATTCAGCATCGCATTTACTCTTCTCTTATGTGTCTGATGTATTATTTTTTATTATGATCTGTACATGTCCTCGTGTAACCTCCTACACAACCACATTCTTAGTAATCATTACGTAATAAGGCTTGCCAAGCTAACAAAAGAGCCATTTCTTCTCGGGAGTTAATGCATGTAGATGTAGTGTGCGCCTTATATATTTCCATATAATACATCAGACACATAAGAGAAGAGTAAATGCGATGCTGAATGAAAGGAACACGACAGATACAACGCATGCGCAATAGATATCGCGCAATTGAAACATTGTTCAAATTTCTCTTTTTTAAAAATTGCGTGATGGTGTTTGGGAATAAGGAATCCAACTGTTTTACCTGAAGAAGGACACTGAAGGTGTTCGGAAAACATTTGTTTTTACAAAATTATTTATTTTTGTATTTCTACACATCGGTTAGAAGCACAAGTAAGTACGTTTTTGTTTAAATTCTGATTATCATTACAGTAAACTGCCAGCAACTCAAACTAATACAGTAGAGGATGAAGGTTGTCTGAGTTAACGGGGTATTTTCTCCAACAATATGAAAACAAAAAGGTGTATATACAGTACAGTAATTTATTACATTAAGCTCTATACAGAAATTTATTGAGCTTTAGTGGGTTTTACTGCTGAATTTATTATTACAGGGAATGAATTCAAAAAAATTTCATGACATTTTAGTAACTTACTGACTACAGTAATGCACAGTATTGAAAAAACTTCCAGATATCAAAAATAATTATAATTTTGTTATAATTATAATTACTTGTTAATTATAATTTCTCTATTGTCAAAGAAATTTTAAGTTGCTGTAAAAGCTTTTTGGAAAAATTTGAGTTATGTGAAGTTCAAGTTATCAGGTTTTACTGTATATTCAGATTTCAAATTTTTATTTGAAAACTGATTTCTCAAACTCTGGGGCTCTATTCCTAATTGCCCTGCTGTTAAACCCGCTCATCAAAGGGATAATAAAAGTCTCTGTTAATGAAGTTTAATTTCTATATTAAAAACTTTTAAAAATCAGATGATATTAAAATCTTTTTAAACATTTTATTAAGCTGTAGTATGTCTGTTTTATTATAAAGCTACTTTATCTGACATCCGTACTGAAGAGGAGGGAGGGGTTACGACAAGTCAGATAAGGGAGTGGGGAGGGTTGAGCTTCAGTAGACATTTGGTTTATTTCATTAAATTTTATACAGTTCATGCATTTTCTTATATTTATTTCAAAATTTCTTGTATGTTTTGTTTCTACATATGGTATCTATCATTTGTAAAGTGATGATGGTTTTAAGGGGGGTCAAGTTTTGTTGGATGTCCAAAGAGAGGGGACTATGGAAATTTGGACAAACTGGAAGGAGAGGGAGGGAGTAAAACTTTCAAGAAAATTCAGACGTAATTTGTGGACAGCCCCTTACAAGTAAATCGAAAAGTCATGGAGGACAGATGCTATCTACCTCAAAATTAACAAATATACATAAGGACAAAGATGACAGTTACATAAAATTAAAAATACATTACATTATTATTCATTAAATGGTTGGTTGGTTTGTTGGTGTTTTATGGCGCAAGGGCCAAGCTGCACCATGCCAAATGGTTTATCTGTCTAACTTAATATATACATATACAATATAAAATAACAACAAAAAACAATAACAAGTATATACAACAATAAAGATAAACAAGCAACAATATATATAAAAGTATAAGGTAAATAAATAGTTAATTCTCTTTATACATATTAGTGACTTTTAGAAAGTCCAGTAAATTGTCAAGATTTGGCCTCTGGCCCAGAATCTCTATCAAACTTTTATTTCCAAAATACTCTCTATGAATTCTCTCAGAGGCAATGCAGTTGCACAGTATATGCTAAACATTTACAGTACAGTTGCAATATTGGCATACTGGCTGGTCATCACCCTTCAAAAGATATTGATGAGTCAACCGAGTATGTTCAATTCTCAAACAGGTAAGGATAACCTCAGCTCTCCTTTCATACACTATGCTACATATCCAATTTTCTACCAAAGGTTTGATCTGATGTAGTTTATTGTGGACTTGTGCATTCCACATGTTTTGCCATCTCTCTGCTAATTGTTTTTTAACAACTAGCTTTAAGTCACCTCCTTCAATAGGCATTGCATGCTGTGAAAGACTTGCTGACTTTGCAGCTGTGTCAGCTTCTTCATTTCCTCTTATACCCACATGACCTGGGACCCAACAAAATTTTAGAGAAATTACTCGCAGTATGATGGCAAAATAGTTTACAGATTTTAATCACTATGGAGTGAGGACTAGGTTCACATGAGATCAAAGCTTGAAGTGTACTAACTGAGTCAGTGTAAATCACACAGCAATGATGACAAAGACTGAGCCAACGTAGTCATCCGATTTAGATCCATCAGTATAAATGGGAATTAAATTCCTGCAAAGTGCTGTCTGTAAATGTAATCTGGAGTGGATTCCTTAGGAAACTGCTTTAAGCTAACGTCAACATTTATCACAGGAGTTGACGAAAGTGATATGCTATCAACCTCGGCCTGTGAAATGTTGCTTATGTCCAGGTCAATCGTGCTGCTTACATTCTCCATTCTTATGTCGAATGTAGGGACACTACTTCTGCGGGCTGCAAATAATAATCTCAGCTGAGTATCTGATACTGTGTAATCAACAAAAGGTTTAGTCTGAGACTTTTGTTTTATATAATAAAAAAGAGACAACTGTTCTCTCCTGAGAGATAGTGGAGGCTCATAAGCATCTACATACAAAATTTGGACAGGAGAAGTTCAAAATGCACCAGTGCACAAACGCAATGCTTGATGGTGAATTGGATCCAGCATCCGAAGAGTAGATTCTTGCGCTGAACTATATACAACGCATTCGTAATCCAGCTTAGAGTGGACAAGAGCTCTATATATCCTGAGCATAGAACATTTGATTGCTCCCCAGGATGAGCAGCATAGAACCTTTAAAAGGTTCAGAGACTTTCGTCATCTATTCTTCAAATTGCACAAGTGTGGCAAAAAGGTCAATTTTTGATCAAACACAACACCCAAAAATTTAGCCTTGTTGACCATTGAGATTTTAACCCCCATTTAGGTAAATTTCAGGATCCAGGTGCAAACCACGCCTTCAGCAAAAGTGGATGCACGACATCTTCCCTGCATTAAATGTAAAGCCATTCATGTTGGACCAGTTGTATATGCGATTTAGGGAGGTTTGCAGTTGTCTCTTAATAAAACTCATGTTACTAGACTGGCAGAAGATCTGAAAGTCATCCACATACAGAGTATGTTTGACACTAGATGGGAGACAGTTAGCTATGCTGTTAATTTTAATTAGGAACAGAGTTACACTCAAAATAGAACCTTGAGGAACACCTTCTTCTTGGGTAAAAGGCCTAGATAAAGTGATGCCCACCCTAACTTGGAATCTTCGATTCTAGTAAGAAGTTTTTTATAAAAATTGGCAAATTATCCTGTAATCCAAATGTAAGATGGGATCACAGAGTATCTCATTCATAGGCCTTCTCTATATCGAAAAACACATACACTAAGTGCTGTTGTCTAACAAACGCTTCACATATAGATGTTTCAAGGTTTACTAAATTGTCTGTGGTACTTCTGTTCCTATGAAATCCACTCTGATGTGGTGAAAAGTAGTCCTTTTCCTCTAGGAGAAACATCAGACGTCTGTTTACCATTCTCTCAAACAGTTTACAGAGACAACTCGTCAGAGAGATTGGCCTGTAATTAGAGGGACTCTTATGGTCTTTACCGGGCTTGGAAATAGGAATTATAATCGATAGCCTCCAAGAGTCAGGAAAAGCACATTCTGTCCATATTCTATTAAACAGATTCATAAGATTACTAAGTGAATTGTTTGACAGATTTTTAATCATGCTGTAGTGCATTTTATCCAGGCCTACAGCAGTATTCCCCAAGCGAGCGATCGCTGTATGTAGTTCTATGCTGATGAATGGTACATATTCCTCATTAGATGGGGAGTGAAAGTTTAAATACTGTTTTTC